TCCTCCCTCCGAGGTTCCCATTTTTTTCGAAGATGATACCGACCCTCGCACCTGGCTAGCTGCCTTGAAAGCCCAGGGCTGGTCGGACCAGTTGCCCCGAGAACGAATTCCCAGAAGGTTAGCCGGAACCGCTTTTGAGTGGTATGGACATAACCCTTTCACTAATTGGTTAGCCTTCCAGAGGAAATTTCTCGACAGATTTGATCACATCGCACCAGGTCAATGCCTCTGTCTAATAAAGGAATATATGCAGCAGCCTCGGGAAACCTTGGCTAGATATGCTGAACGCTTTACGTACCTAGCCGAACGCTCCGGGGTGGACGAGAAAATGGTACGGACTGACTTCGTCAGAGGATTGTCAGATTCCCGCCTGTGGAAAAAGATCCGCAAGAAATGCAACCCTATAGAACATACCCTGACGGAGCTAATTCAGTACGCAATTAAGTACGGGAAAGAAAATTACGATGTGGACCTGGACTCAGAATCCGACGAAGACGACCCTTCGGGTGTTCGACGCAATYGCTACTCCGCTACGGCACGAATGTTCGAAGATCGCTTCGGGTTGGGTCCCGCAAAAACAGGCTCGGATCGGAAAGCTTCTTCCTCTGCTTTGACCTCCCATCGCTCTAGTCAAGCACAAGGAGGCCGGGGCGAGGACGAAGTGTATATGAAAGAAGTCGTGGCCCAATTAGTTACGGTAGTGGCCCCGTTGACGGAGTTTGTTCAGGGCCTGCAGCGGCAACGCATAGCCGCCTCACAACGGCAACAAGCGGCTATGGCCGCCGGGGCCCCTATGATAAGACCGGCCGTGGCCTGGGCTGTCCCGCCCCTACGCTGTTATAACTGTAGTCAGCCAGGCCACCTTGCGAAAGATTGTCCGAAACCTTGAACTCAGGGTGGGCCCACTGGGCCCACCGGACCTTCCCAAATCCCGCTGGCTGCTCCAACCGCTGCAGGTCAAGGGAGGGTAGCCACGGTAATGGACACAGGAACGACGGAGATGGTGACCCTTGCGGCCACTGAGATAGGACCCGATGAATATATCGCGGCAGCGATGTTCGAACCCGGGACCATCGAAGTGATACGTCACGTCCAACGGATTACCGATGATAGCAACCTCGGGCCGTGGTGACCAGGGTTCAAAGATCTTGCGGCACCTGGTCCTTAATACAAGGATGCCATTGGCCATATCGACGTATTGGATGCCTTGAAGGCTCTGGATCTACGGATCCCTGTCGCTATTCCCTATCTGCTAACCATTTCCGAAGCGGCTAACGAAAAATTGATCGAACGATGCCTCAAAAACAGGCGCCGATTTGAGGAAAGTCGAAAGGGCAAAAGGCAGGTCCTACGAGACCCACCCACAAACGAGRAGTCACAGCCCTCGACCTCAAAGGTSCACGAAGCCAAYCGGATAGGAATGATCCAGACCATAGATTCCGCCTCGGAAAAACCCGAGGTATTCCTCCGRRCCTATCCTATAACCTGGAAAAGCGTTGAGTGTGACTGCGAGGTCTGGGGAAACCCCTCGGCCGCCATCCTAGACTCGGGATCGTCAGCGGTCGCMATTTCTTGGAGATTGACGAAACAATTGGGAAGGGAAGGACATGTTCAGCCTCTCCGACTGGATGAACTCTATATATCCGCTATGGAAGACAATATTCAGTGTAACTGGCGAATAACGAACGTGCCTRTACGGGTGGGGCGGGTGCATTGTTTGTGMGACGCAATYGTGCTGGATGTACAGGCGTATGATGTTCTGCTAGGCATTCCGTGGCAGGCGGYGGTCGGAGCGCGAATGCACTTTGAMAGCTGTAAGGTGGTGCTCACATCGGCCCACCCCAAACCACAAAYGATACCAATGAGATTGGCGGTGCGTATGCGTACCCAGCCGGCGCCTCGAATCACCACGAAAGCCCACCAAATCAACATGATCCKACGCTTGTCGCCAGACGAAAATGAAACCTCGCYGGGAACTGACGAGACTAACGTTCCCGACCGATATCCGATCCGAGTTCAGGATCGGTGGCGCCATTCCTGGCGACGAGAACCCCTGGAAATAGTTCGGAGCGAGTCCAATTGGTCGCACACGTTTTCCTCCGTGGTGCRGGGGGAACCCCTGCTRAGGGTGTCCCGAATAGCTGACCTTTCRGAACCCCCTGCGTCCTTATATCTWAGGACGGACCYCCTACCTGAAAGATTTAGTGAGCTTAGGGGGCTGTGCGATTTATCTTTTCGACCCCCAYGGCCCCTACTCACGAATGAAAAARCCGCGATACTCTTGAAAGAGGGGGTGTCGTTTCAACCCTSAACCAGGGAATATCGGTGGGGACSGAGGGAACTGACGCAAACCTTTTCGGTAGAACCCTCGCCCGAACCCGAACTGGAYAGTGACAGTGACATGGAAAKCGAGCCGATGAGTCCGGCGGACAGTCAACTTATTGCGACTGTCCTTTCRGCGAAAACCGACAACACTTTGTTTGGGGCCTCGCYCGATGCCAGCGCGACGGTCCCCACGGTTACGACGACGRTCTCCCTTCCTKGGGGAACCGTAGAAGTTCAGTTACCAACCCGTGTTCCGGATGAATACAAACGCCTCCTCCTGGCGGTTATACGGGCCTATCCTGAGGCTGTCARTGTTCAGGACCACGACATAGGGCTAACCCCTTTGATACAGCAYGCGATTGATACCGGGGATCACGCCCCGATACATTGSTGATCGTACCGATATTCCCTTAAAGAAAGACAACTGGCGTTGGAAAGGGTACGGGAATTCGAGCGGTTGGGGTGGGTCGAACCATCGYTGGGACCGTGGTCTTTTCCYGTGGTCCTCKTGCCAAAACGAAATGGTTCGGTCYGGGTATGTATCGACTACCGAAAATTGAACGCTAWCACTACCAAAGATGTGTATCCCTTGCCGCGAATCGACGATTTATTAGATGCTATCGGGTCCRCTCGAGTCTTTTCCAAGTTCGATATCCGACACGGTTTTCACCATGTCGCAGYCCGACCGGAAGACCGACCCAAAACCGCTTTTGTCCTATTTGAGGGCACGTGGCAATGGGTCTGGTRTCCCATGRGAATTYGTAACGCCCCTGCAACGTTTCAGCGGGCCATGAATATGGCCTTCGCTGAGTTCGTTAACAAAACCCGACTAACCCAGCCCCTGATCAATTTCTGCGTGATTGTGTACAWGGAGGATATTTTGGTCTTTTCAAAAAYGCACGAGTACCACGTGGAACACATTGAGTGGGTTTTGCATGCACTAAAAGATGTGGGGYTCAAAGTGGCCTTGGAGAAATTTAAAGCGAGTTCTTCTTGTCAGAGATCTCATTCTTGGGGTAAATTGTCACGGTCGATGGACTAAGACYAGAYCCAAGGAAGGTGGCAGCCGTTCAAGAAGCCCCCGCGCCGGTCACACTCACCCAGGTTCGGGCTTTTCTAGGGCTGGCATCCTATTACCGACGCTTCATCAAGGGGTTCGCCGGTGTACCGACGCTTCATCAAGGGGTTCGCCGGTGTAGCGAAGTCCCTAACGAACCTGCTGAAGAAAGAGGAGCAGCTGATCTGGACGCCAGAATGCGAAGCGGCGTTTCAGGCGTTGATGGAGACTCTGACATCTGCTCCTGTGTTGGCGCGTCCCGACCCGACAAGACCATTCGTACTGTACACTGACTGGCAGCCGCAGGCGATATCGGCAGTGCTGACTCAGCACGGGGCGGACGGAAGGGAACACATTATTGAGTATGCGTCCAAGACGCTGAGCTAGGCGCAGGCTAATTACGAAGCGTGCAAAGGCGAATGCCTGGCGGTGGTGTGGGGGATTCAACATTTTCGACCGTATCTTTACGGCCAGAAATTCATGCTGGTAACGGATCATCAGCCGCTGCTGTCCCTACGCAACAACACGGACTACACGGGGACGCTGGGAAGGTGGGCGGTGCGTCTGCAGGACTATGACTTCGACATCCGCCACCGTGCCACGCGGCAGCATGGCAACGCCGATGGATTGACAYGCCTCCTGCCGCCTAACAAGTGTCYCGCCAACGAGCGACTCATTCCGTGGGGGCGAGAAGCCGTGGCGACGAAACCGCGCTACGGGGAGCTACACGTGCTRTGCAAGGACGACGCCTGAGTCCGGAATTGAGGTTCCGCCGGAGATGGCAGACGCTATCTCTTTGCCCTCATCCAACTCCCTCGCTCTCTCGTCTAGTCCCTACTCGTCCYCTGAAACACATCTAARTCCCTGTTTCTTCTGTACCTTGCCTATGGTCCCAAACCAAGAAGGGTCACACCCGGGAGGGCCCAGTTTTCTTTTGTGGGTGYAGTGTAGTCAGTGTCAAGCGGTCAAATCCCATAGACAATGCGTTAGGTACCGAAGTGAAAAGACGTGGGTCTGTCCCAACTGCAGAACGGACCAAGTCCCTACCGAGAGACAGTATCTGRACGCACGRACYGCCGACGGATTCACGCCAAGTGCCCGCCGGGCAGAAGTCTGGACGAACCTTCTGTTGCTACGGAGGCTGTCAGGCGACTCGCTGTCAGAACTTACCARAGSCGAGCGGCGGAGAGTCACGGAGTGGGCGCAGGACTATCGGTGGCAGGGACYGACGTTACAAAAACGAAAAGTCGATGATGGCGCAGGGACTAGCTGGTTGACGGTTCCGCACCCTTTCGCTAGGTTCGATTGGACACGAGCCGCTCATGAAGAGGATGCGGTCCATTTCGCGGTCAAGTACACGGAAAAAGCCATCGAAAAGAATGAATGGTACTGGTCGGGAATTTGGGAAGATGTGAAATACATTGTCCAGAATTGCCCGGCCTGCGAGGCGGACAAGGCGCCGGTACAGATGCCTCGAATGATGGTGCCTACTCGTGTAGAGCGCCCCTTTCAGATAGTTAGCATCRACACGATGGATATCAACTTTCCGAGAGGTCCCGTCGATCAGGGAGAGCTCAATGTTCTTTTAGTGGCCTTCGATCATTTTTCGAAATGGATCGAGGCGTACCCTATGACCAGCCGGAATTCACAGGAGGTGGCCTGGTACGTAAAGCGATTTTTGTGCATGCATCTAGACGTAGAAGTGGTACACATGGACAATGGGTCGGAATTTCAAGGCGAAGTAGAACGTCACCTAGTCAGGGCGGACGTTAAGATTATCTACTCGCCGGGGCATTGGCCTCAAGCCAATGGCCTGGTAGAGAATGCCAACCGACTGATTAAGACCGCTCTTAGACGGAATATCACTGCGGGGGATACCCGGCCCTGGCCTGTCATTGTCGACCATATTTTGGCCGTTTATCGGGCTACCCCACACGATAGTACTGGGGTGTCCCCCTTCCAACTGAGAACCAATAGTGTCCCTCGGGTGAAGTTGTCCCCCTTGGTAGGTACGGAAGTTAGAGCAACACGGGCCCAGCACAGAGATAAGGCCCACCACTACATGGACTTAATGGCTAGGGCCTATCCCCCGTTAGCTCGCCGGCGACAGCGGGCCGTAGGTCGGACGCATCAACGACAGATCCGCGATTATGAGAACCGACATGCGTCCGCGGGACCACTCCCTCGCTATAAAATTGGGGACTTGGTACAGGTACGGAAATCCGCGCGCTCCTCCAAGATCCACCCGCGCTACATAGACATTTACAAGGTAACGGAAGTTGGCACATAGGGACAGCACTCCGTGAAGCTGATTTCCCGTCACAATTCCCACGCCCGACCGCTGACACGGCACGCTGCCTCGCTCCGGCCCTTCCAGCCATCGCTAGGCCCCATACGGACCCCCGCTCCTACGAGATCATCCTCTCCTTCTTCGTCTTCCTCCTCTTCCCGATCGGCCTCGTCCATTGGTGCTGAGAATTTCAGGGAGCAAGATGAACCATCGCCAGCCGGAGCATGAGCCCCTCGAGCATTTCCAAACACCGCTTGCAGACCGCTTGTTGTGGCATCAGTTCAATGAGGAAAGGCAGTTGCGGTACGGCATTCAGCAGGTGAACGTGCCAGCGCCCGGGGTTGGTGATCTGGCGGCGTACTCATTACTTTGCGATCGGCTGACGTATGTGGAGGTGTACGCGGACGTGACGCAGTTGCCTGGGCGGGAGACGACTCGAGTGTTCATCGAGTTCCGCGCGCTCCAAGTGGCACCCAACTTCGTGCATAGCGTCGCCACCTTTATTGGCGACTTGACAATCCTGCCACCGCCGAGTCGGGAGCTGGCGCGAAGTTTTGTGCGCGAGTACACGGTGCAGGCGGCCAGATCGGTGGCCAGAGTGCAAGGACGGGGGGGACACCGATTCACAACCCACGAAACGCTGTTGCGCAGGGCAGAGGACGGACCGATCGCGTTGGTGCCGCAACTCCCCACGCTTCTTCCTCCAGCTGCCCCTCTCAATATCCAAGCTCTTCCCCCTGCCCCGTACTAAATGCCTCCCTTCTTCTCTTACACCACTCTCCCCTATCAACTCACGGAGGTCCCTTATCCTATGCGCGAGTTTTCGGAGTATCTGGTGGAGCTAACTGACGTGGAACCGCTGCCTTTTGCAGACGAAGACGCGTGGGAATTGCACCGTGCGCTGTACAAGTCGGTGGCGTTGGGGATGTTCCGATTCTTCGTGGATCACGAAGACCACTGCATCGGGGAGCACTTCGTCGTCTATTACGTCATCACACGACCCAAGCCSGCGCAGAAGGAGGGGACGGTGGCACTGTACCCATTCGCCCAGCTCCAGTCGATCGATCCGGGATTGTTGGAGCTCATACATCTTGAGCTCCTCTCCATTGCGCAAGTGATCGCGAGCGAGGAAGAAGAGATCCAGCCACGATTGCGGACAGCGACGGCCCCGCGGAGAACGTACAATGCGGTCGTCATCCCGGATTACRTTGCGCAGCGCGCGGAGAGGTTGGAGGACTTCCCGGAGGAAAAGCCGTTGCGGCCTCCCTTGTCGTATCCCCGACCGGCGCCACCCAAGGCCCYCAAGAAGACGCCGAAGAGGAAGAGACGCCACCTGTCGCCAGGAGCGCAAGGCAGCAGAATCGGTGGCGGCGAGGAGGTGATTCAGCCCGCGCGTACACAGAATCTTGACCCCGCGCCTGGGAGTGCGGCGACACTCGTTAAGGCGATTGCCGTGCCATCGCCGCCCTTCAYGCCCGTGCCCGATCTCAATCTTGATGGAGCCGGGCCATCATCATCAGCAKYAACCGGAGGAGGAAGCCGAATGGGAATACCGGATCCCATATCCAGATCCCCCGTCCTCGCGGGACCTCTCCGCTCCCGCCAGCCACCCGGGGGTGCCCTGATCATTGACATTAGCAGTTCCTCCGAGCCGGACGGTCCATCCGACAGAGGTGGATTGGATTTCATGGTGGAGCCCACCACCATCAGGCTCGAGGCCATCGYGGGGGCACYGCGCCCTGATCCGGCGTGGGAGCCATATCTGACACCCCCTTTCCAAGSGTGTATTGCGGCGCGACTGGCTGGGACGCTCATCTACGAGATCRGGCAGCGTCCCAATGTGATGTACCACTTCCTTGTCTTCGCGGCGCAGAAGCGGGAGAGGCTGCCTTACACCGAGACTCATGTGGTGATAACGGGTCCAGGGCCCCAATCGGTGCGCAAGCGGGTGGTGCGAGCGGTGGCGGATCTGGCGCCACGTGTCCTGTCTCATGTGCCGGGGGCCTTCCTCTATCCCTTGTTTGTCCAGCACCACTTCCAGGAGGCGCCGACGACTCCCACGGCAATGGCTGCTTTTCTTCCACCTATTCTGCCCCCTCTCAATCCTGACATCGATCACTTTCTCTGATCACCCTCGTCTACCTCTCCCCGCTTCTCTCCTTCTCCTTCTCTTCATCATCTTCTTCTCCTATGCCCAAAGTTCGCGCGTCGAGACGCGCTGTGTATATTTAAAAAAAAAAAAAAAAAAAAAAAAAAAAANNNTTACCGATCGGGCCAGCTGACGATGAAGGGGCCGCCCGATCGGATGTATACTATGAGAGGAGGCGATGGAGGATGCAAGATGCATCCACGTAGATTAGGAAGATGATCGGGCCAGCTGACGATGAAGAGGCCGCCCGATCATCTAAGACATGATAACCTCAGCAGTCGGGAGACTGCTAATTTTTCGGAACCCCCTGCGTATCACAGATGTGATAAGCTCAGACCCGTACCGCGCGACTTCYCGTATCCCTGAGGAAAAATCCCYCGGAAGCCCCGAGGCACGRATGCGGACAAACAGGGGTTTTTCTTTCTTTTTGCTTTTGTTTTCCTTTTTGAAACGACTTTTTTCATTTTTGGTTAATAACTCCCGCGYGGGCGAATWRCGGCCGCGGTATGAAAACCAAGAAACGGTTTCGGTGGGGACTTTTTRAATTTTTGYGCGTGCGCGYGCCTAAGCTCCGACTTCTTCGCGCGTCTCGCACCCCCTGTTCTTGCTTTGCATCCCCGCRCCATCTTCCCTTCTTGCTGCGCGCACTTCCCCCATGCAGGACTCTTCGTCTTCCCTCCCCCCCAGCTCGATCCTTACTCCGCSAAGTGATTGGCCGCGTAGTTGGGATGCTCGGATCAATGTGGAGAGCGGGAAACCGCTCACCACTTGAACGGACACCCCAATCACGTAGGACCATGCCATCCCGCGGGTCGAACCCTCTAACTCCCCACCTTCCTCCTGTCCTGCTCATCTACAACTTGCGCTGCCCGCACCTCGCGCTGACAACCCGCTGCCTCCCGCGCTATAAATTTGTGCAACCCTCTCCTCTCTCCCTCTTTGATCTCAGTTGTAATGCTGCGCGAGCTATGCGCGAAAGTCCGCGGCACCGAACAGGCTCGACGAGCCCAAGGACGGGCGGAGTGACGACGTGGGGTGGACCCTCGGTAGTCTCGGGGCGAAGTAGTCGGAGCGACTGAGCAGTGGTGGGGATTGGRCGCCGGCCGCGGCAGGGCCTTGTGGCTATGGTGGTCGGTGGTCTTGGGAGGTTTTGAAGGCTGCGCCTGGGGGCGGCAGTTAATTGAGAATTTTTGTGTACAAGAAGGACTCATTTTTATCTCCATTGCTGCTTTGTGTATGCATGACGTGTGTGTGAAGCCCCGAGTGACGGGAGCTGGTTGTGCACACGAGTGATGTCGAAGGTCTATGGATGATTGGATGTTCTGTCAAGGGTTGTTGATTGCATGCATGTATGTGTGTATGTTCTTATCCGGGCGGGGACGGGGGAACTGAACTGGAGGACCGTCTGCTTAGGAGTATGAGTGTGTTGATCCTGTAGTTCCCCTCCCCTCCGCGGCCTTTCCTGCGCGCATGCGCAGTCTTGGTGTAACTCACTCTCTCTCTCTCTATCGCCTTTCTTTTTGAACTGATAGTCATCGCTTTTAGAACTTATCGTCCCTGCACCGGTGACGTCAACCGCCTGCGTCCCTGCGCGCGGTCGACGCCCCCGCAAGGGGAAAGGAGCTTAGATTTCGTCATCTTCTTCCGACGAACCCACCTTGAGAGAGAAGAGTTGCGTCGAGTGTTGTATGGAGTCAGTGTTGGTTCGGATGACCGGGAGCGTGGGATTTCGCCCGTGTTCATCGCTCACCTCCGATCGTCTCATCTCGCTACCGACCTTCCCCATTGTAGATGACGACAACGTCTACTGCGATGCGGATGTACGACGCGTGCTGAGACGGACGGAGCAAGTGTGTTGGCGAGACCCGCCCCGGGCATGTAATATAGGGGGGAACGGGTTTGTCTTGATTGATCGCTTTGATTCCCCGACTCAAATATTGCCTTATACGGGTTTGACGGTGTTGCCCTGGTCGGCCGCGCACGCCTCGTGGGGGCCGCAGTTTGATTGTCGCTGGTGTCGCCAGGGAAACTCGTGTTCTTGGCGACGCTTGGTCCTGGGTTACGAGGGAGCGACACGTTTCCCCGAGCTCTCCCGTAATGCGGGGGCGCTGCCCGCGCAATTTCGAATCCGAATGCCGGCGAGTCCTCCCGCCGTTTCACCCTCTTGGAAACTTCCGCGAGGACTTTGCGAGTCCGACGCCGAGGCTTGAAGGCATCGAACCAACCGCTTCCACAGCAAAAACCCGACGGTCCGGTCACTTCACGAGGCCGATGACGAGGCCTGAAGGCTTCGAACCCACTACCTATCCCTCAAGCCCATGACGGTCGGAGTTATGTCTTCCGTCGCCATGGCCCTCTCCCCTTGATGCCTTTTTCTGTCCTGATGCACGACGACAATTCGTTTTTTGTGGAAACCCTTATGATTTTATCGTTCCGGAGTGATCCGACCCCCACGGGACTTCGCGACGACAGTTCGACTCCGGGGTAACCTCTGGCACGAAACGAGAGCCTCCCGTTCCGTCCGGGAGACTCAACCCCTACGGCCAAAAATCCTCGACCCAGTACGGGAAGCTGCGAGGGGGCATGAGGTTGGCGTATCACAAACAATTGTGGTGAGTAAGTGCAACCCATCCAGTTCGACACGATTCTCATTTTTTGGCGAGTAGTGCAACTAGGCCCTCTAGCGTGATGTGCGCCACCTCAGAGAGGAGGACTCACAGACAACCTTAGACAAAAGAAGGTGACAATGTGCAGCCAATGGGGAAGCACCGAGTTCACCGCCTGCCTCAATAAGCCAACGTGAAAATGAAGAGAATGCCCTTGGCCTACGATCCATGGCAATTGGCGGTGGCAAGGAGTGTCACACAACAGGGAGATCCCCATTACCGGAACAGGAGCAAACCATAGTGGGTGAACTGACATTAGCAGCCTACCAACGGGCCTAGGTCAGGGCATACTCACACTACGACTTTTTGTGCTAAGCTCTTGCTGCCAGATGCATCTGGACATCGCTGTGATTGCCGCCAAATGCATTCAGAAAAGTCTTCGTGTGAGTATGCCCTTAGTTGGTGCACCCAATGAACTGTTGAAATGACCTGTGTATGAATACAGACGGAACTAGTTGAATAAATTTCTGAATTACCGGGGCCTGGTCAGTTCCACATTGGCAGCCTCTACCACGGAATCTGCCTGTATACCATGAGGTGCAATAGTATCGCCGTCCAGTACTTGTGGCAGGGTGCCGAACCCGTTCCCCGTTGGGACCTGGGATTGGGACAAGGTCCCCCCTACCCGAGTCCTATGACTGGGACGAGGTGTGACGCCCAACCTCACGCCCAGCGCGACTTCCTGATCGGAATAGGATGTGGGCCTGGAAGTGCGAAAAGGGGGTGTCCCAAGGATTTTTGGGGAAAGTGGAGTCCCAGGTGAGAACTGAGATCTCCTGTAGCAGGATTTTTCGGGGGCACGAGTGCAATTTGGCGGAGAGGGCGGACCGCCTTTGGTCACAAGGCAGATGGTACGCGTGGGTCGCTCAGGGTCGGGCGAGCCATTGGTTTCGGGGACGGAGGTTTGTGGGAGGGTCCCTTCGGGGTAGGTGGGGTTCCGATGAGTCAGGCCGTCGGGAGTTGCCACGTGGCGCCGGTCGTCGCGCGTTTGGGTTGGGCCTCCGGGATTCTGGGGTCGCCTGATCGCCTCGTCGTCGACAGTTTCCACAGGGCGTATTGGGCCAGTATGGGGCCACGGGACGACGCTGAGTTGGTGATACAGAAGAAGAAGGCGAAAGGGAGGGAAACTGGTGGTGATAACGACAAATCCAGGGTGGATGAAGTAATAGGTATGGTCCGGAGAGGGGAAGTCAGAGCACCGGGGGTCGCTAGTGGTGGCGCAGTGAAATTCCCGAGGACACAGCCGGTTATCGGTTAGGAAAGGGTATCTCTGTCTGAGGAGTTCGTTTATCCAAGGGGTGAAGTTATCCGGGTCGTATGATGAGTCTGAATTCCAGGATCGTGTCATTGTGTCATCGCAGGGCTACGGGGTGCCTAAGGGCAGGCGATCGCCACGTGCAAGCACGTGCAGGCTGCGCAATCGGGTCTCGCTTACACGTGCTTATACGGGGCGATGGCTTTGTCGCTGGAAGCAGAACTGCCACGTTCGATCAGACAATATCCCCGCAATCGCTAATCCCTTGTAAGATTTGACGAACCGACAGACAGGAGTGCGTGTAGGTGCGCAGATCAACTCGCGTTTGACATGTGTCCTCGCGCGGCGGTCGTTGGACCAGACAACCAATCGTCTAATCACTCCGTATGTTCGAGCATGCAAGATGCAACCAACACAACAGCCCAATCATGAGACAACCAAAAACGAGAGTCGGGTTACCGATCGCTCAAAAATTCCTATCCTACTTATGAATGCATCAACTGCAATAATCAAAAACAAAGGCAAGGATTCCGACAGAAAGATAAATGACCAAACATTGCATCCATACATTCATTCATTCAGCAACATACACACCGAACATCTGAGATGAAAGTCACGAAGACAAGTGTGAGCAAAAATCCAAGTCCAAATTCCGAGAAATAGAAAGCGGGCAAATCACCCGGAGCCGAAATCAAAATTTATGTACACGAGACAAGAGGGATAAAAGATAAAAGAAACTGCAAAACCACGTCCATCAACCTCAACTCCCTCTTCCTCTCTCTCTCTCTCTCCGATGCGGACAGCACGTCGTCGCGCACCAACCCACGAAGCCGTCAACCCGCTTAGTCCTCCCGCACCCGTCAGGTTCGCCCTCGCCCACCGTCCGTCGTGGCCCGCGTCAACCCCACGCGTTTGGCACCAGCTCGTCGGGTCGCCCGACTCCTGCTCTACTCACCTCTTACTTCGCTCGGGTGCCGAACCTCTCTGATCGCGCAACCCCGAGCTTCCAACTGCGGGTTAAGAGAGCTAACTAATCGCCCAACCGAGATTTATAGCGTGCATGCATGCGCGAGGAACACGAAATTACAAGGACTTAGAAGGAAGATTAGAGGAGGAAGGCCTACGTTCTGCATGG